GTAGCATCCGCGGTCAAAAATTTTGCGTGATCACGAGCGGAAAAAGGAATTTCGAAAAAAATACCCAACCAGCCAATTTTTCACAGTTTGCTTTCAAGGGGAGTGTTCATGGGCAAGAACAACAGTTGCAAACATAGCATGATCGATGTGGTTCCTAACAAATTATGATAGGTAGCACAAAAAACGACCGATCTTTGTTTTGAAGCAAACAGGTCACGAAACACCTGCCGTCCGGAGTTTTGCAAATATCTCAGCATTATTGAAGTTATATTTCGCCATATACCCTGCCATCAAAAAGAGTAGGCAGTAAATAAATTTTCTGGGAACTATTCCATGAGATCTTAACCCTTTTATGTAGTAACCCTCACTTGGTTTTGTAGATAGCATTTGTGCCCGTTTAAAAGCTACACGTGGCTCTCAAAGTCCATATGAGGTTTCAACTTTGTTCGTGCCTCTGTTTCTATGGGTACCAGCTGCTGATGCTCCTAACTGAAGGACATTAAACTGTGAGTCATGGGTTAAATAATGCATCAAGTGTTGGTTGGCTGTGTAGGGTCGATCGGAGGCTGTTATAAATTTGTATTACTTCCATATATACTCAGTTAGCCACATAGACGATTTATCTTCACATCTCAGATGGATGCTGCATTTCTTTTACTTAATTTTTCATTTTGCAACCGCTATTTGTGAGAATGTGCAGATACAGGCTTGGGTTCCATGTTGCATGAAGATCATTAGTCTTCTCTTTTTAAAATGCTAAATATTTACAGAGAGTATTTGCTTTAAAAATTTCAGAGATAAATGTGGTAAGGCGTTCACATTACACTAAAAAAGTTGATAATTATCGTGACTAGGTTGAAGGGGTTACCTCAGTGCTTCGGGACTAGGGCACTTTCAGTGCATGCCACATGAAATTCATTTATATTTGAACCGACATGGCTGGATTCATGGGAAACTAATGCTGCATGTCAAATCGATGAAAGGTACTCAAAAAATGGGTTAAAAGTGCATTTGAGAAGTTTCATGTCTTGTCCAAAAAATAGATTCCAATTGCGGTCTGAAAGAACAGAACGGGTGCTTGTTGAGAAACCTAGCCTCATGAATGAGAACCGCGAGATATTATAAAAAATAATACAAGCGAGCACTTTATGTAAAGACATAAATGCTTCTCCTGTCCGGCAATCACGCGGAGGACACTGAGAAGCTCCAAAATTCTAGACATGGAAAGTTTTTTCTTCCATAAGCTCGACGCGGTCGTTTATTAACGAGATTACAAGTGGCGACAGAGACAGCTAGGTCTCTGATTAACAGATGGATAGAAATCGTAAGATGCATGAACCATTGTTGGTATCGACAAACTAAGCACTGAAACGTTCGCAATGGCTGCTAGTGTTCCTTTGCCTGCAACGAGTAGGGCTGTTTTCATTTGTCACCTTTGTTTCTTTTTTTCTGAATGAGCGAAAGCGTCGCACAGTAGAAAACTTCGAGGCGAAAATGGACAAAATACAATATTGAAATGTAAATGTCTAGCAAAATTTTAATAGATATTTTTCAGAAAACGTTAATGGTTGTTCGGATTAGGAAAGTGGTGAGCGAAAATTATGTTAAAAGGAGTAACCGTGAAGAAAATGGCACACACTAAATCGTTCCATGAGTATAGTGAGGCAGACAAGTGGAGTTCATGTTTTGGCAAGGAATCGCTTAGAATGAGGCAACGGAATGCTACAGATGGACAGTTATCATCAGTAGCCTTGTACATGCGGAAAATCAAACACTCTTTTAGATTTCAGATGCGTCTTGCTATTAAGCGAAAAATGATATGAGTGATTCGAAACAGGTTGACTGCAACTGGTGGACTTCCCGAATGACTAAGGGCTAAGGAAACAAGGTGAAGAATCATGAAAAATACAGTTTTGAATATACTTGTTTGAAAAGAGTTGCCTTGTGTACAAAGAACAGATTTCGAGAAGGTCTCATCATTCATGGTTTCAGCACGTCTTGTTAAAATTCCACCAAATAGTGAACCGATTACAATCTGAGACTTATTTGCTCTCCGTGACAAAGCGACACAAATCGTTCTGAAAACGTCGAATAGTAACACTTGCGAGTTCCATCAACGTTCTCCTGGTCTTCATAATTAAATCTTTCCCCTCTTCCCTTCTTGGCATAGAATATGGGCATGGGATTGCTGCTGCGTTTCTGCTGTACTTGACATTATTATCGGAATACCTAGCAGCTTAGTTCGAAAAAGAGCGAGATATTTTCTCATATCAACTCATTCTGTGGAATGCGCCTTAATTTTATTCACTGTATGATTAGGATGGAAACATGAAGAGCAGTAGTTAGAGATGCCCTGTGGTACCTACGTAGTCGTTAGTTCGAGCGTACGCCCAGAGCTTATCAAGCCTTCCATCCCTCCAGAGTTGGCAGATTGGCACCTGACTTGTGTGGGAGGACAACAACACTGACTTGATACATCGGTAGCCACCGTAAGTCATTGAAAAAGGCAGATATGCATTCACTCACCTCTAAAGGTGATTCAAAAATTCCAATGAATAGCGTGTTTTTGGGACTGATCAATGCCAGAAGGAACGTTATCCTTTGTCCGCGATATTACCGCCAGAACTGCGTTAAAATACTGTTTTCGCGTTTCATTTTGCATTCTCAGGCTCGCTTAAATGTGAATCCACTATATGGAGAAGGAAGGTTGTTATTTCATTAGTAACAGCTTGAATGAAAAATGTGTTAGGCACCGAAGATATTTTTACCAAAGACCAAAGCAAACTATTAGCTTAATTACTTTTATAAATATAAGAAAGTGAGACTTGCATGTTTCGATGCATGGATTTTAGAGGTGTGAACTGTTGTAAAGCAACAATGCCCTGTTAATCCACTGTCTTCCTCCTGTAACCAAACACGAGTTTGGTACTACACAATTTTTTAGCATACAATAGCTGACGTTTCGGAGGTTTCGCCTTCTTTGAAGCCTGTAAAGGTCAAATTGACATGTAATCGCAGTCAAGGAGAAACTGCCGAAACGTCAGCTATTGTATGCTAATAAATTCTATAATACCCACCTCGTTTTTGCTTATTGAAGAAAAACAGTGAATTACCAATCAATGCCGAGGTTGATGGAATGTCGGTCTTGGAGACGCCCTGTTATTTTCACCTGCCAATTTTTTGGCTCACTAGTTCTGAAACCGAATCCCATTTCACCTTGCTGTCAACCAGATCAGTTCCATATAAATACCAGTCTAGTGAAGTGATCTCGTCCAGCATTAGTGAAGTTGGAGTACGTCCTCTTTTCTCTGCAGTTTCTTGAGCGGTTAAAATGCAAGTGTCACTGGGTGTACTGAAAGAAATACGAGAAAATGAAAAAGTGGATCCATCTCTCGTGAAAGGACAGTGCTCAAGAATTTAATAATTTTTCGCTGCAAAATAACGGCAATTTACAGCACGTATGATACGGAGTAATGAAAAGAAACTTAACGTTAACCTTGGCGTTTTATTGAACCCATAAGAAAGGTTTTGACTGATGATTATCTTTGCAAAGCTTGATTTAGTTCAAACAACGGTAAAGTACAATTCGCCTTCAGTTGATAGACCTCGAAACGATTCTTCGTGAAGGAATAAAACCCAGTCAGATTTGTGCATGGAAAGTGCTGCAATTTGAGGGTCAACTGTCTTTTCTATGCTCTTCTTCAAGATTGTCCTAGCATGTTCTCAAGCTCTGGACGATAAGAATTCGCCGAGCTGTGTTGATTAGATGGAGATTTGCCACTTTATGGCAGGATCTCTTCAAGAACAGCTGAAAAGAATTCTGGAGTGGAAATGTACACAACTAAACACATTTAAAACAAAGCGTTATTGCCCATGACGAAATCAGGTAACGCCAGGAGACCATACAAGAAAGTTTTGTTTTTAAATAAATAGCCCATTAGCTCTTCACAAATCTCCTACAACAATTGCTTTAAATACCACCTAAGCAAATCAGACAGATAGAAGAAAAGTGTAAGTTAGAAAAAATGTGTTGAAGTAGTTCTCGCTCGCCTGTAAAATATCGAGTCTTCGAAGTTTGCCTATCAGTTCTTGACAAGCGGTCGAGTTTTACTTTCACAAATCCTGATCGTCTTCAAGGATTAAAGGAAATGACCGGCACACGGTGGCGAAACCATCGATACGACCTGTGCTGACTCCGCTGCTGACTCCGCCCCAGGTACTACCTATTTAAACGTCTGTCAAGCAAATATAGGTAGTCGTTTAGGATTAGGTCTAATATTTTTTGCTTTTTTCAATAGTCTTCATGCTTGTTACTTTTCACAGGTATCCACCACAATGGTTTCCTTGTACTACAAAAATGCTGATGTAGTTTCTCTTCTGCTCTTTGGCTCATTAAGTCTACTTTGTTACCTTAACATGCGTTATCAAAACCTTTTCCTTTCACAGGAGCTTCACATAGGGACTGTATATGTTCGCTGAATTTTTCAAAGTCTGGAATTCTTTCGTAATTTCAATGCTGTAATGTTCCACTGAAGGGCCGCCAGCAGACGCGACATCTTGTTGGCGTCGCTTCGATGTTGACAGTTTCAAATAGCTATGCTCATCTATTACATTGAATATATTGAGTCCATTGAATATATTGGGTCTTTTGTAACCTAAAAAACAAAATGCATGTTAGTTTTATGGTTAACTATGTACCCCCAAGCGTGCTTTTCTTGGAGCATGAACATCGAATTGAAGATTTCCGTATTTCTCGATGATAGCATTTCTTCTTGTTAAACAGACACTTTAAACATGTGAATTCATAGTGAACCTGATATGAATGACTTCATGCCAGCAATAATTGCCAGCGGCAATTTCAAACACGTCATTGCTTTGCTGATGTTTTTTAGCAAGAAGAAACAGATGATTCACACTTTATTTAGTTTGGGTAGAATTGGCTTAAAACAGCGTACAAGGATCACAATAACCTTGTAATGAGAAAAGGCATAGGTGTTTCAATGAAAGGCACTTTGGTAATATATCCAGTGCAACGCAACTCCATTATTGTAAGCATCCAGTGCGCAATTTCTCATAATTCTATGATTTAGATAGATCATCTTCTGTCTGTAGACCTTCACCTTACTCATCCCTCTCAAATGTCAACTGACGACCCAAAGGCAATGGCAGGCGGGGTCGCATCACTCCGAAAACTGGCATTTTTCGGTGAGTCACGGCGAGCTTTCATTTGAATGTCGAATTATTTGAACTAGCGGTTAATATTTTTTTTCTCTTAAGGAATCGCAATTTCAACTGTTGCCACATTGACTGCCATTATAGCTGTCCCAATGCTCTACAACTACATGCAGCACGTGCAGTCTTATCTTCAGAGCGAAGTATGGAAAACTTGGAAAGAGTTACAACAAAAGGGTTAATTAGGCGTCCAAATTTAGGTTGAGTTTTGTCGACATCGCACTGATGGACTTTGGAATGAGTATGGTCAGGTTAGTTGATAATTATATTTATGACAATGTGGCAGTTAAATTGCAAAATCTATATATATATAATATATATAATATAACAATGCTTTAACTAAATTGTCAAAACCTTGTCTAGCGTAAGAATCCACGTAAGCATCACATTAGCCACTATTCAATATCTGAAGGCAACAGGTTTTAATGTTTTTGATTATACGAGTCTCTTTTTCTCCCAACGGTTTACCGCCTCATCGTGGCTGGGAGGTGTTCCTGGGTGTCCGACTGCGATTCCCAGCGGGGGAATTATCTCGCCGGCAGGGTCTCCCGAGCAGAGAAGGAGTCCAGTGTTTCTATTAGGAAACCTAGCTAAGAGTAAGCCAATACCAGGATCCACCACCGTCCTGGTATCAAAGTCGCGTGGTGGTAAACCTCCTTCTGATCCACAAGAGCTGTGACTGCCTTTAGTGGTGACGACCTGGAGCGGACTTTCCAGACTGTCCTCGTGATTCCAGGGAACCACAATGGCTTAACCAGCAAATCTCCAAAAAGTGGTGATTTTCCTAGGGTCCGCACAACTAGTGATGACGAGCCGTTCAAGTTCAAGTATCAAGTAAGAGTCTCTTTTTACAAAGTGCAAGTTGTTCTAGACTAGTTTTCTGCAATTATACACTAGTCGATGTGGTTGTGTTTAAAATAAGAATCCCAGTTAAAAACTAGTAAACTGGAAAAACTTTCTTTTTTCAGTTTGAGCGTCTCAAAGGCGTAGACGAACGTACGAAAAGGTCAGTTCAGAACGGAAGTAAAGACGTAACGAAGAAAAGGAAGAGCCAACGTCGTGCAGTCGTTCATAGAGCTTTAAACGACCACGGTAGACATGTAGCACAACGCCAAGCTCCAGTCGACGCCCCTGTTAGTGCAGTCGGATTAACTGAGTGTTGCTCTTGTGGAATTGGAGAATCAGGTCCACCAGGGCTTCCTGGACCCGACGGCGAACCAGGACGAGACGGAAAGCCAGGTACTGACGGAACTCCTGGAAAAAGCGCTCCTCCAGCTCCAACTCTATCTCCCGCTGATTTTTGCTTTGACTGTCCACCAGCTCCACCTGGTGAACCCGGACAGCCCGGACCGCTTGGGCCACCTGGACCTCCTGGCGAACCCGGACCGGACGGCGTGCCATCTATCCGCGGAACTCCTGGGCCACCTGGAGAGCCTGGACCCATGGGGGAAAGCGGGTTACCGGGAAAACCTGGTCAACCTGGAGCACCAGGGCGGACACTAGAAGCGGTTGGAGTGCCGGGGCCTCGTGGACCGCCTGGTCCAGAAGGACCTCCTGGTGAATATGGAAAACCAGGAGCTCCTGGAATCTCAATTCCAGGACCCCCTGGACCTCCAGGAGATCCTGGCTTTGCTGGAAAACCTGGAAGCCCTGGCGACCCTGGACTGCCTGGACCTCCAGGAGGTCCTGGGGGTCCAGGAAGCTGCGACCATTGCCCTCCACCGCGCACTGCTCCCGGATATTAAGCTGCAAGTTGAACTGGATATGCTGCTCTTTTCTTCCATTATTGGTTTTGTACTTGCTAGACAACGTATGGTTTTGGATTTCGCGATTTGCACAATGCGTAAAGTTCTCTTTGAGATTTGGATAAATTGGCGTTAGGTCCTAGCACGTTGGGATTGATCTCTCGTACTGGGGTGTCTTTATAACGAACTTTCGTATGCGTAATATAGAACAACATTTGTGTTCGTTGTTAGATGTTAATGAGTAGTTAGCAATAAACTTTTCATGCAATTCTGTGTGTACATGATTTAACCACTTTTCATAGTCTCATAGCTTACTCTCCGGAAAACCTATGCATATCCAAATCCAAATTTATTCTCCTTAGTTTAAAAGGGTGGATATGTAGTTCAGAGTTATATAGGATGGTCTAATTTTTTCTTCTAACGCAAAATGTCGAGTCGGTCACGTTAAAAAAAGCAATAGCCACTGTTTCAGTGAATGCTTCAAACGTTCTTCTTGTTCTTCAAGGAATCTTTTCAAACTCCAAGCCAATGAAATTGGAATTTGGAAATTTTCTCCGTATACCAGGCACTCTAAGAAGATAACTAATTTTAATAAAATAGCTTATGAACACAATAATTACAGAAGCCCTTACAAAAGCTGGACTTTCTTTGGGTTTTCTTCAAATACAATAGTGTTATGGCGTTTTGAAGTTCTTGAACACTAGACTTCGCTCCACTGTGGATTAGATAGAAGGTTAGTATTCTCTAAAGAGAATTATTTGAGGAGAGCCGAATAATGTCTTAGAGTGCGAAAAAGATGCGATGGGGATGGTTAAAATTAAGAAATATATCGAAGAAGGAAATTTGAAAGAATCTCAAAACTTGAACTCTCAGAGAGTACGGTCCTCCAGAAAATACGCGTTTTGTAGGTAGTCAGCCCACTAATTCTTCATGCAACTGCTGTTTCAAATAATACTAAATAGTGCCTAGAGAGACTACGTAAATGGAAAAAGGATGCAAGTGAGAAAAAATGTACTGAAGTAATTCTCATTCACCTGAGCAATATCGACACTCTAAAATCTACTCATCAATTCATGACAAACAGTTGTGTATAAAAAAACTCTGATGTCAGAAAGGCGAAACGAATGACACGCATCGTTTGATGGTGAACATGTCAGAAAGAATAATAACGAGATTCGATCCCCCGCAGACACTTGCGGTCCAAAGTTTTGCAAATACCTCAGCATCATTGCAATTGTATTTCACATCATAGCCTGCGATAAAAAGAGAATAGGTTGTAAATAAAAAGTGATTATGTTAAGTTAGGTTTTACTTCTAATTCCTCTTTTTCTTATTCTTTCTCATTTCTCAAATCCTCATCGTCCTCAATGGTTAAAGGAAGGAACTGGCACAAATTGGCGAAACCTGTGTTGACTCCGCCCCAGGTACTACCTATTTAAACGTGTGTCACCCAAATATAGGTAGTCGTCTTGTACTAAATCTGATGTTTCACCTTTTTCTCTACTCTTCATAAGTGAAACTTCTCAATGTTATCCGCCTATTGCTCTATTTATTTATTATTTATTTTACATGATCTGTCATCCTTCCCAACGGCTCACCACCTCATCATGGCTGAGAGGTGTTCCTGGGTGTCGGACTGCGATGTACAGCGGGGAGATTCGTCTTCCTGGCAAAGTCTCTCAAGCTGAGAAAGAGTCCAGCGTTTCCATCAGCAAGCCTAGCTAGGAGTAAACAAATACCAGGATCCACCATCGTCCTGGTATCAAAGTCGCATGGTGCTAAATCTCCCTCTGATCCACAAGGGCTGCAACTGCCTGCGGTGGTGAAGACCTGGGGCAAACTTTGGCCCGGCTGACCTCGAGACTCCAGGAAACTACAATGGCTAAACCAGCAATTCTCCGGAAAATAGAGATTATGCTGGGGCTCGCACAACCAGTGAGAACGGGGCACTCAAGTATCAAGTATGTAAGACCTATCACCACATTTTATTAGGCGGATTCCATCACTTCTTGTATTCGATTCGTTTTCCTCGTATTCATCTTCCACAAAAGTCTTTGATCACTTGACGTCTTTCGGCTGTGTTTGACGATTTCGTCTTTTCTATGAATGTCGTAGAATGCCGGTCAAGTCGATTCTCTTTGCAATTTTGAGGATAGCCCGACTATGGCGTTCACCACGTTGATAGGAAGCAAGCGTTGGGGAAAGAGTCGAAATAGTACCTTTAATTCCTGATCGACGTTATCACTACCCACTGCGTTATTGCAGTGCAATATTGCTGCAGTCACATCACTCCTTTTATACCCCAATAACTGCTGATATAGTTTCTTAGTTGTCGAAATAGTTCAGTCTCTAAAGCATCCGTTCGTGAAAGTGACAGTGGACGAGAAGCACATCAGAATCGTATCAGAGACTCACATTGATGGGTGCGTCCGAATGAGCCAGATTTTTCACTGTCACTTTCACGAAATTGAAGGAATCACCATTGCACTGTTTTTTTGCTGATTACGTTTGCTTCACCAGTTTAACCTACGTCAGTGAGACCATTGTCATAAGAGCTTCACATAGAAACAGCGTATGTGGTTCGCTCTAATTTTTCAGCCTGAAATTCGTTCGTAATGTCTTCACAGCTCTGAACACCAAGTGAAGGGCCCCCTGCAGCCGCCACATGTTATCGGTGCAACCTTGATGTTCTAATTTTCAAATAGGCATATTTGTTATTTACGCCGAATAAATTGAATTTTCTGCGATTTGAAAAATTGGAAAGCTTGTCAATTTTACGGTTTGCTATGTACCCCACCTTGTGTGTTCTCCTTGAAGGTAGACATCAAAATTCATGTTTTCTATTTTTCCGGTAATGGAATTTTTTACTGCAACACTGGCTGGTCAAACATATGAATTTATACTGAGTATGGTGTTAGCGATTAATGGCAAAATGTCTGTAAAATAATTTTTAAGACGTCATTTCTTGTTGAGGTCTTGATTTCATGGCATTTATTAAGAAAAAGCAAACGATCCAAAACGATTCACACACTTTACTAAACCGACTCTCACCTAACCATGGGGTGAATAATCAATATACTTCTTTAAATGGTTTACCTCACACGAGATTGTTATACAATTTCTATCCGGCCAACGTTTTGACGTTCTCGTCTTCCTCAGAGCCGGTTACCCGAGCCTGATCCACGGTCGGTCGTACTCTCGATGCCGTGTCTTCATCGTATCGAATCAAACCTTTTGAGTTCAGCACCGCTCGAAAAAAAAGGCTCGCTGAATAAAAGTGCCACAACATGCTCGAGTAAATTGAACAGCCTAAAGAAGAAAGCACTTCACACTTCACTCACTGTGGGTGGAATTGGTCGAAAATACCCTATAACGTTAATAACGATCTTCCAGTGAAAAAGAACATAGGTATTTTAATAAAAGTTACTTCACTAATATCTCTAGTGTAACGAAATTTTGCTGTAGCCAATATTCTTTGCATTGTTTTTATAATACCATGAATTATATAAACTCAGTCTGTAGACCTTCTTCTTACTCATCCCGCTCAGATGTCATCTGACGACCCAAAGGAGGTGGCCCACGAGGTGGCTTCGCTCCGAAAATTGGCATTCTTCGGTGAGCCGCTGCGACCTTTCATTTGGGTGTCGAATTATGTCAACAAGCGATTATTTTCTTTTTTTCTAAAGGGATCGCTATATCAACTGTCGCCACACTGACGGCCATTGTAGCTGTCCCAATGCTCTACAACTACATGCAGCACGTGCAGTCTTACCTTCAGAGCGAAGTATGGCAAACTTGAAAGGAAATACACTACTACTAATTATATTATGTAAAAAATAACCATCTGTTTACTAATTAAGCTTCCAATTTAGGTTGAGTTTTGCCGACATCGCACTAATGGTCTCTGGGATGAGTATGGCCGGGTTAGTTGACAATTATACTAATATATGATAATGTGCTAGCTAAGCTGCGAAATCTTATCTAGCTGGAGCAATCATGTAATCATCATACTAACTACCTTTTAGTATTCAAACACAGAGGCTTTTATTACTTCTGATCATGCGAACCTCTTTTTACAAAACGCCAGCTGTTTTATTCGAATATTAGTCGGAACAATTTTGCATAAGATAAAGACGCCAGATGGCAACTAGTAATCCGAAACATCTTTCCTTTTTCAAGTTTGAGCATCTGAGTGACATGGATGGGCGTACGAAAAGGTCAGTTCAGCACAGAAGCAGCGGCGTTGCGGCAGGGAGGAAGAACCACCGTCGCTCAGCGGTTCGTAGAGCATCAAATCAAAAGGGTAAATATAAAGAAGAAGGCGCATCTGCATTCGATGCTGCCGTCAGTGGGATTGAACCAATGGAGTGTTGCTCTTGCGGAATTGGATTCGCAGGACCTCCAGGTCTTCCTGGACCCGACGGCGAGCCAGGACAAGACGGAGAGCCAGGAACTGACGGAGTTCCTGGAAAAGACGCTGATCCAGCTGCTGTCCCTTCTCCCACTGACTTTTGTTTTGACTGTCCACCCGCACCGACTGGTGAACCAGGGCGGCCCGGACCACCTGGACCACCTGGGATCCCCGGAGAACCTGGACCGGTAGGCGCCCCATCTCATCCCGGTCCTCCTGGACCACCTGGAGAGATAGGGCCCATGGGAAAGGATGGGCCACCCGGACTTCCTGGAAAACCTGGTGCTCCAGGTCAGACCATAGAAGCAGGGGGAATCCCTGGGCCATCCGGACCCCCTGGTCCAGGAGGACCGCCTGGAGAACCAGGAACACCAGGAGCTCCTGCGATCTTAGTACCGGGACCCCCTGGGCCTCCAGGAGAGCCCGGTCACGCTGGACATCCTGGAAACCCTGGCGATCCTGGACCACCTGGACCTCCAGGAGGTCCTGGTGGTCCAGGAAGCTGCGACCATTGCCCTCCACCGCGCACTGCTCCCGGATATTAAACCGCAGATCCAATCAGACATGCTCTTATCTGTTAGTACTGCTTTTGAATTTGCTAGAGAACCTATAATTTTACATGACGAAATATGCAAAATGCGTAGAGCTCTCTATAACTTTCGGATAGTGTGGCTGTAGGTCCTAGCACGCTGGGGTCGATCTCTCGTATTGGGGTGTCTTTGTAACGAACTTTCATATATGTAATGCAGAGTAAATAGATTTTTTACGTGTTGTAAAATGATGATGAGTGATTCGCAATAAATTTTTCACGTCATTCGAATGTGGACATTCATGTAAACGTTTTTTATTGGTCTCCATAAATTATTTTCTTAAGGGTTTGAGCTCATGCAAAATTTGTCCAATTGTTAGTAATTGAGAAATCTAGACATGAAGTCTCAAAATATCTAAGAATGTTAGACTATTGCTCGTACATGGAACTCCGAATCGATCACCTTGCAGTAAAAGAATGCCTATCACCATGTTTTATGAATGTGTTCTTTTCTGTTTTCCATGGATTTCTGTTCAACGTCTGAATCAGTAAAGGAAAAATTTGAAAGACTTGTATCAGATACTGAGCAGTTTAAAAATAACTATTTCTGGCGTAATGACTTACTAGCAGAAGAGTTCGAAAACGCATACAAAGCTTAGAATAAAATACAGGGATTAGAAACATACAATTATTATTAGCCGTACAAAAAGATACCTATGTGGTGTAGCAAAAGTGAAGAAGTGGATATTACGTAAGCAACTTGTTCATTGTTTCAGTTTCTCCATGCTCGGGTTAGAAATCAAACATGAGCCCAAAGGTTAAGCGCGGAACTCATATGGCTTAGCATGATAATGTCAAGCAGACGATGCATTATTATTAAAGTCTGTTATTTCACTTTCGCTCAGTGTAACGTCAACTCAAGTTTTAGAACACACCACAGTGGAACCGGATAGGTTTTCTATTAGAGACATGTGTTACTTAATAGGTTCCACGATGCTGTAATGGGAAAACCCGTCTCTTGCTTCATTTTTGTTAAGATTCAATTCACATATCACCTGAATTTATCTTAGGGGTTTGAAATGACATAGCGCACAGCAACATACCGGTGAAAATGAGTCGCTTAAAAATTTGTTTTGTAGAATCAATAATAACGGAATTAGATATGTTTGTACGAACTCATATCTGTTAAAGGAACGCTTCTAGAAATGAGTTTATTCCTCTCAGGTTTGGCTCGCTTACCTTACGAATGAAAAGCTCTTTTACTATTCAGTTTAAATATCTCAAGCCTTTTCTTTCTCGCTCCTATGTCGTAGATTTCGTGAAAAAAGCGGTTTAATCAAAAATCTTCTGACGGCATGAAGCATGTGGCAGTGGGACTCGAAAGTGGTTAAGAACAAAAAGAGCGTTAGAAGCGAATTCCTACAATCATTTTGATTAAACTCCTCCTTTCTAGCTTCAACTCCTTCAAATTAACAAATAAAAACTTTAAATAAAAAAAATACCGATTTCTCCACGAGAAAATTTTCAGATTGTCTTTTCAGAAGCAACGTGATTCTCCATGTTTGAAAACCAATTTACATGTTTAACTAAGGTTCTCCTCCAATGAATAGTCTTTATTCCCTACGTGGTAAAGCAAAAAACTAAGACCAGCGGACCAAGAAAACCTAAAAAGGATTCAGTAATTAATACCCTCTTGCTAATAGAGAACAGGTATTCCAAAGTGAAACTTAAAAATGTGTGAAAACTTTGAAAGAAGATGCTTGATTTTTACTGAGTTCGCCATCTGCACTCTGCCAGTTCCTGTGAGAATCCATTGTGTCATAAATGAAGGGCGAAAACAACTTATGTGTTCAATTGCAACAATGCCGGTTACACTTACCAAATGAGTCGTAATGCGACATTCGTGAGACTCATTGCGAAACGTGAAAGCACTAGACACTTGCTGAATTGTACGGCGGCGCTATACTGTTTGTTAAATGTTATTCGAGTATTATTCTACAAAGTTTTCAGGCATTGACTACAACAAATAAATCGTCCTATAGAGATTCAGTGGTGATGCGTTGTTTTGAAGTTTATTCACAGATTAAAGCTCGGAAATAAATTCTCCTTCAAGATTAACGTTTCTTAAGGCCCCAATTTCATCTACTACATGCGACATAAAATGCAGTGATATACATTTGTCTTTCAGAGCTGTGCAAATGGTAGAATATCAAAATGATGCTAAGATATGCGCAGAACTCGAAAACCGAGATGAGCTTCGAACCCTTGATTACCCCCACCTGCGGTTCACAGTCTATCCATACCACGACCGAGGCCCTAGCTTTGCCTTTTTCTCAGCCAGTTTCTTAGAGATTTTCAATGCCAATTTGTGTTTTCCAGACAATTTCCGTTGATGGGGTGTTTGAAAATAACACCGTTATGGTAAGAAAATGGCAGAGAGAGAGAGACAGCAAGGCAAAATAAGGACCCCGGTTGGTGTGGTGCACAGCACGTGAGCTCCAGCTCCAGGAAACGTTAATCTCGAGTTCAAATCCTTCATGAGGTTCCGAGTTGTGCTCATAACTCAGAATCATTGTGGTTATACTTCACATAATACCGCGTTGTGAAAAATTAGCAGGAAGTAAATAAAAGTTAGACATAGTAGAATATCGTTATTCTGTAACATGCATATAAATGCAGCAACAAATCACTCTTACTATGGCACTAAACAAAGCTGGTGTTTGTGTTGCACCATAAGGGCTATATATTCTGCTAGCCAGTGAGATCTAAAACGGATATGGGGGTCCGTTATAAGCAGCTTGAAACGGAAGAACAAGTAATAATGACACCTACAGCAGTAGTCTTAACCACAACATTGGAAGAATGTCATGAACGTACATTAAATATAATGCACAGTTAAAAACGAAAACTGACCGTGCAGCAATCAACCTTAGCACATTTGCGACAGTATGCATTGATTTAAATGCATATGTCAGCTCGTGGAGTACATAAATTGATTGCGATAGTTTTTTTTCTTCGTTCGTTTCTTTTCTTGCATAAACCTATTACTGAGACACCGTTTGTTTTAAGTCGGCTACAATATAAAATTCGCGAAACAAAACAGGTGCTCGCGAAGAGCCTCCGCATCTCCATAAATTGTCTGGCGAATGCTGGCTTAGTGTACGGTCAGAGTTGCACAACACATTGGGGCAATAGAGGTAATGAAACTATCGCACAATAGGATAGACAAGGCATAAATCATTCGGAGCCGAAAAGTTTCTGGAGGGATACGCTACACAAAAAGTTAAAAAATTCCATCATTTCAATTGAGACATCGTTCTTTACGCCAAACTGTCCAAAATAAGGTGGGCCGGATATGTCGCGCGTATGAACCAAAACCGATGGACAAGAGTCGTTAGTGACTGGATTCCTTGGGATGTCAAGTGTACTGCAGAAAGAGACCAACGACTCGATGGTCAGAGTTCTTCACGAAAACCCAAGAAGAAAGATGTGATGCTTAACGAGTTCCTAGAGAGAGCAGAAGCCACTGGGCTCCTTTTGCACACGACGGGAAGAAATGGAAGATTTACTTGCGCTCGCTCAAATCACTCGACGTTCAACGAGAAGATAGATGATATATGCATTCGATTCTTTTTAAGCGAAAAGTAGAAAAATTTTTCGCCGTTTCCATTGAAAGGGCACGGTATCGAAAACTTTATTTCTCGACGAGATGATGTATCTCCTCCTACTTTGTGATTTTCTTTGCACGGTGTGTCAAATTCACGATATCAGAACATTTATCGCGATCGCACTTTATGACGGTAGAGAAAAATCTAGCAAAACTCTGCATTGGTTCCGGAATTTCGAGGATTATTTCCTTGCTCCATGCATGAGCGCAGCCTACGGCTGAACACAATGTCTCAAACTAGCGAAGAGCCACAAAGTATAATGGCAGAATAATCCGCTCAGGCGCAGGTACCTCTCTCTCTTCGCTTGATTAACCATCGTCTTCAACCTCCACGTCAATCATTTGGAGTAAATAATCTATACTGTTATTCTGTAACAACATAATCTTCAACAAGATATCTTTTATAAGTTTTTTTTGATTTCCCAACGCTAGATTAACAGTAGTCGGCGAAAGTGAGTACAGATTCAAAAAAATTGCAAAAAAAATCGTAATAGGGATGAAAGGCGTCTTACTGAACTCATGTTCACAGTACGTTTCTTCTTCGGAAACCGATTTCTGAGAAGGAAAATTCGCCACAGCACAGTGCACACAGTCCGCACACTCACAAATAGAAAACGAGGTCTTTTTGAGAACTTCGTGCTGCCATCATTCTGCAATTGATCGGACCATAGCCTTCTTTGTGCACGGATTTCATTTCATCATAACCTAGAAAACAACTTTTCTCATTGTTCAAGGAAATGGAAAGTCGTAAATGATGAGATTGTTTTCATATGAAAGCCAATTCGAGAATGACCTGACCGAAAACTACAATCTGCTTCTCAAAGGACTTAAGAGCTTTTGAAAAACAGGCCCTATTTCCTTGAACCCGAAATTCGTATCTCGTCTCCGTCAACACTAAGGAGTTTTTCGAAAAAGAAAAAAGAAAACTGGAGTTTCATCGTGCTACGAAGCGCTGTTTGTAAATGCCAGCTGCAGAAGGTTTTCAAATGAGTAATTACATCGGTACAAGCAGAAAAAAAGTATTTGAAGCAATTCAAAATATAAATTGGACCATATGGATAAAGTGAACACTACTGCTATCTTCTGTCATGCGCAAGTCATAATGGGGAAGCTCTACACCAGTCTTCTTTGATATGAAATTCTATGAAAACCTCTCCGTTCCAAAACCATAGCCTTGATTCCCAAAACCCTAAATGGAGGAAAACCACGTAGGATTCATTGCTCCCAGGTTTGCGATGCGATGAGAAGCATATAGACAAGCACAGCTCCAAGACCAGATAATACTACGGCCAACATCCGTAGAGCTGGCAGCCACACACTACACGTACTTTTCATAAGTGGTATGAAATCTTGATTTTAAAAGGAAAAATTTCAGATTAGTGGAGAATGTTGTGCACGGTATTCTTAGTCAATAATGATGACCGAGGTGCCTTTCGTAACATTCTTCGTAACAACATCAGGATTAGGTTCTTAGATGTGCTCTGCAATTTCCTTAGTAAGATTGTCCCATCGAGGATATCAAGGGTTTCAGATGAAAAACAACTAAAGAGGCAAGAGGGATACGGATAGAAAATTTCGTTGCATCTATAACGTCCATATGTTGTCCCTGATCATATAACCCAGTGGGAAATACCACTCTTCCTTCGCTCTAACCTAGGGCGCCTACGAAAAAAGTGTACCGAAGCGTTGAAATGGATGCGATCCTATCAGCACTAGTCAATCAAGAAGCAGGCCCGTCCTACATAGGTACTCTCACGAATTTCCGCCAAATTACTTCTTTCTTTAGGATGCCGTCATCACCGTCATTCTAACAAGGATGTTAGTGAGGTAGAGACGATGCTCAAAGCGCTGCCATCGAAGCGCTAAGAAGAATAGGACTTCACACCTTTAGATGCACACCTTTGAGCCAGTGTTCAAAAAACATGAGAAACAGCATGAAATTGCTGTTTTCTGGAAGAAAAAGAATAAAGTATGCTGCATTCCGAACCCTTAGAGAATCACGCCCAAGCTAACCAACCCGCATATCTGAGCATAACTTTTTAATCAATAGCCTTTCGTTCGCTCTCTTATGCAGTGGGGATTAAGTTGAAAATTCTGCTCGACGCGTATAGACCACTTGATTAATGCATTTTAAAACATAAGGAGCACACTCAATATCTGATTAAAATGCGTAGTTTAGCCCTTTGAACTCATCCCATCTTCGTAAGTCAAGAAAAGGACTCATTTCCATTTACAATGATAGCAGCATGGAGTCCAGAGAGTACCGTCTTCCGATTTTATGGATTTATGTTGATAATGCTTACTATTAAATACATTATAGACCCTACCTTGTATTGTAGCTTTATGTAACATTATCTTCACCTTCTCGTTTAACCGTATGTTATATACTTCATTTGTTAAGCCCTTGACCCATATAAGCAATATTGCTTCCTATCACGTGTTGCATTACTGATAGTAAAATTACTCCTCTAATAACCATTGATGTTAAAGTTGTCCTCACCCTCTGTATTAGGAAATGGCTTGCGAAAGCTGTCCTCTAATGGATGTATGCCAATTTCGCAATGTGATGGCAATATGTCGTCCAACCTAGGAGCCAATCTGAGCAAATTTGTATAGAGCCGCCACCAATCTGTATCTTATACCTCTAGTATATCATTGATGACCATCTTGATAGCCGAAAAGACAATGTTAACCTTTCATTTTTAGCCTAGTACAATCACAACGATGCTGAGATATCCGCAAAATTAGGACCCCGGGCCACATCGAACCACGATTTCCTAGTTGGGAGTAAACGAGTGGGTCGATTTGGCCAGGAGTCTCAGTTTTGCGAATTTCTCAACATCGTTGTGGTTAAAAAGACATAGTCCACTGTAATTCAATCAGCCAAAGACCTCCATATCCTCGACAGAAAACACATGAAACCCAGATATCAATCGCGCTGAAAGCAAAATAGCTTTTCCTCCCACTCAACGTTTCTATGAGTATTCCACGAGAAGACCAAGCGCTTGGAGTTCACGTGGGCGAGAAATGCGGGTCCACCCGTTTCTCCAATATATTATTTCCCGTAAATGCTTTACAAGCGGTTAGATAAATGGTGTCCGAACCCGCGTAATCACTAACTCTGCCGTTAGGGTACATTGTCTAGTTCTATACAGTGCATAGCCGATAATACTGCCAGTTAGTCGGCATCTTAGAGCGCTCGATGGTACTCCAATCACGGATGCCAAATTTTCCAGACCAAGCCCTTCTAAACAGTGTTTTATATCTGTAATTATTTCTTTGTAAATGAAGGAATGGAAAAACAATCATCCACATATCTACGGTAGAGTAATGATCGGAAACAGAGCACGAGGGCTCCAGCTTTAGGTAAGAACGCAATGACAAGGCTTGCTACTCCAACCCTCTCACTTGTGCGAAATGCGTCATAGACCATCTAATGATTGAGGAGTTTAGACACTCTTTTAAGAAAACTATGAGATGCTAAATCGAGAAGCCATAGATGTCTACTACTCCTTTGTGTTACATAAGGAGTTCGAACATGGCTTGCGTAGCGAAGCTATTCGATAAATTTATATAGCGTTACGTAGAAGATAGAGGAACATTTGGGTATTTGCAAGGTTGTTTGGAATACGTTCTAACAATTAGATGAGTGTTAGGGCTAAAAACCATATTGTTCCATCAGTTGGCACGTTTATACAGCTAATGATAGGTCCAACCTTAAATAAATGGATCGATAGACACATGATCATCAGTAGATACTAACTTACGACTATTATTGCTAAGTAAGCTAAAAATGACAAATACTAGTAGTTTAGCTTTCTCTCTTAGTTGGTTCTGTCCTACGTTGTGTATCCTTCGGACTCTCAAATCCGGATTACCACCTTTTCCGTCATCTCTCCCACTTTTTTCATAGAAAATGACGTCCTAATGACAAAGCCGCTGTTAAAAAATGCTTCTAAAAATTTTTTTGATTCTAATAAACCGTACTCTATCTCATAAGGCTAGAATGGAAGAGCATTTCGAGCTTCGAAGCCCTTAAAGGGATCTGTTGAGCACCTCGTGCAAATGCACGAAATATAAGGAGAATATAATCATGAGTCCTCCAATAACCATTTAAATTATGAATCATATTTAAGGGTAGGATTACTGTGGAAGTAAACTTCAGCAGATATTCTTGGGAACTGATGGAAAATCGATGCCAGATCATGCAGAAACTCTAAGATCTCAGAACTTTCTCCACAACACCACACTTCTGTGAAGCTAAAAATCTGCATAGATTATTAGTTACCTAATGGTCATAGTGTTATCCATTCGTCGAATCGAATTTTTTTCTACGTTTTCTGTCGTGCAGAAGATGACGCCGGTCCGATATGGGCCAACCGATGAAGAACGACGCGGAAAGAAAAACAAAAAAGGTACACTACTCCCACTGCCTATAAAAGACCGAATCCACCACGTGGAGCTGAGAGTGTGCTTATTTCTATATCCTTCTTTGCTTGCGACGCAGAATCCATGCAATAGTCAATAGGACCTCTACTGACAAGTTTCTTGAACAGTCCTGAAATTCACTGAACATGAAATTGTTACGAAACTTTACTCACTGCTGTTACCATACCGGCTCCAGCGCCTTCGTTAGAGCTGTGATGATTATAAACAAGAAGTAACAGCAGTTTTTCTCTGTGACGTGTGAGTTTTCATAGCCGAATCAAGAGGAGTCGACATAGTTGGAAAACTAGAACTAATCCACGCATTAATTAAAACAGCGCATAAAAAAGCCATGCATTGAAAACCCACGCACTCTTTCGTAGTACCAAGCAAGACAACGCTTCTGATACGAACTGAAGAAATCAATCCTGTTCTCGAAAAATCAACATTCAGTTGATAGCAATGTTACAAATTTTCTTTTTTCTAAATTTAACATTATATTTGTTTTACTCGAACGCCAAATTCGTTGTGAAAGCTTTTTAGGCCATTTCTTCCCACTAAGAACGCACCTCCCAGTTTCACCGGCTAGTGCTGAATTATTGTTGCTCCAAATGTTATAAGTTCATTCATGAAGCACTGCAGTTATTTCAACGCAGTTCTCAAAATGATTCAAATCTCTTAATTCACAATTTCTGCTAATGTAGTTGGTTTGTAGTTCAATCATAACTATCACTTCCACAGAATTTTCAGTGGATGGACGAGAAGCTGAAGTTTTTGGAAGCCGAGCAGGTGAAAAAATTCGCTTTCCTTGGCGTTGCTGTCTCGACTGTGGCAACCCTGACAGCTATTATAGCAGTACCGGCGCTCTGCATGTACATGCAGAACGTCCAGTCTGATCTACAAGACGAGATCAGTTTTTGTCGAACACGAGCTGTTTCACTGCGCGGCGAGTTCGTAAGGGTTGGTAAGAATAGGTCGAAATTCGTGATGTTTACATGCATAGAGAGATAAAAAGCCAATTTTAGCTCAAATCAGAAACAAGTAACCTAGATCGTGGAAAACGTCAAGTATATCAATGCTGCTCATGTGGAATTGGACCAGCGGGCCCTGTGGGAAATCCTGGACAAGACGGAGCGCCTGGAAATGATGGTCGGCCTGGGTTGCCTGGGGCACCAGGGCCAGATGCACCTAATGAATACATAGCTCCAAGATTACAAGATTTCTGCTTTGAATGTCCACCTGGACCACCAGGAGCTCCAGGGCATCCTGGACCAAAGGGTCCAGATGGAAGCCCTGGTATACCCGGAGAACAAGGACCCCACGGACGACCTGGACCTCTAGGTCCCCCTGGAGAAGAGGGTATAATCGGAGAGCCAGGTAACGAAGGCACCCCTGGAAAGCCTGGTGCACCGGGACAAGTTCGCATTGTACCATCACCGCCCGGCCTTCCTGGACTTCCAGGGGAGCAAGGCCCTCCAGGACCTATAGGGGAAGACGGTCGCCCAGGGATTCCAGGCCAGGCAGGCCCACCAGGACCGCAAGGAGACGCTGGACAAGATGGAATCCCAGGAAAGCCAGGAAATCCAGGTGAACCCGGACCACCAGGTGAAGACGGAAAGAAAGGTGAGACAAAAGAAAGTCTTTTTGACTGTTTTTTTCGGAGACAATTAACATCCTTTCTATAGTAGACCCCACCTCAATCAATTGAAAGGTCAGAAATCGCATTTTTTGCAAGAAGAAGGTCATATCTGGTATTAAGAATGAAATCTGGTGAATAGGCTGAAACGAAAGCTGTACTGAAAACTGGGTTAGAAAATCCGTCCCGCTGAAAAGAAAAAAGAGAAGGGTCGACTTGATGCAGTATTCGTTTCTGTGATGACAACTACCTTTGCATTCCCTATGTTCTCGAAGATTTCGATGTTATCTAGGAGATTTCTGACATTTCGCTCAGTTTCAAAGGAAACTGGCCTCAAATAGCATACAAATAAGCAACTAGTTCCAATCAGTTTTATTACAGGAGGATGCGATCACTGTCCGATTCCACGTACGGCTCCAGGATACTAAATAACCGCATCTTCTTAAATTACTCCAACATTTTTTCAACCATAAGATTCACTAATTGTAAAATACGTTTACTAATTTTATTCCTATTAAGTTCTGAAATGCAGCTGCCTGGAATCACCACATTTCCAATTCCTTCAAATGATTGCAAGCAATTTGATTGAATCTGAACAACGCAGACGAACAACGTTATGAACTTTTTTATGTAACAAGACAGACCGGATGAAAATCAGTGTAAAACTCAAGCGATTAGAGATTGTTGGTTTTGTTAATATCCTCTCTCATTCTCTCTCATTCTCTCGTTAAGTACTGAAATACGAAGTACTTTGATTTGTTGTATAACATAAGGAATGCATTTTGGAATGACACAATTTTAGCAGTTACTTTTACAGCCGATGATAAAATCCTATTTAAGACGGTCGATCTTTGCGAAATGCAGTTATTAATTCTGATACATAACTGATAAACCAAATTATGGAAAAGGTGACAGTTGCAAAAAGAAAACACAGCTACCCTGCTAATGACCTGTATCACCTGCATCACTGTCCCGTTGATCGTCGAGTCACTCGAGCGGGCGCCTGTAAATCTTCCATTTTCCTCTTTCGCGTACAAGAGTAGCCCAGTGGGTTCTGCTCGCTCTAGAGACTCGTCGAGCATCATATCTTTCTTCTAGGCTCTTCGTGAAAAAATTTGACCATCAAATAGGTGGTCTTCTTGCAGTGCGTTTAACATCCTGAGGAATCCAGTCACTAGCAGCTCTTTTCCCATCGGTTGCAGTTCACACGCATTTCGTAACCGACTCCTCTTATGTTCCACTGTTTGGCGTACAGAACGACATCTTTCATTTTTGATTGTTGACGTAGGTTGGAGCTCCGGATCCCTTCCTTTACTTGCATGACATGGGATACTCCTAGCGTCGTCCTTTCGACTGCGTGTTCATTAACGCTGAGTGATCCTTCATACTGCTCACGTAGAGACAAGTCAACGGACGCATGCGTTAAGACAGGAAGAATCGTGGAGTCGCAAAAGTGGGCACGGAGTCAGGTATTCTTTGTTCTCCTCATTACAACCTCGATGCTCTTGAAAGATCCTCAAGCCGCTCGTTTCCTTCTGCTCAGCTCTGGAGCTGATTCGTTCATCATATTGATTTCCCGACCTAGATAGACATAACTGAAGAATTCGGAGATTTTCGTTCCGTTGAGCGTGAATGGGGCACATGTAACCAATCCGTGCCAATATCTCATTCACATAAAAACCAAAGTAGCTCAGCTTCTACTATAGGTTTTTATTTTTCGAACCGACCGTCGTTAAATTTCAGTAGTAGTGATGGACACCACCTTTGTGTATTAGTTGGTTAGTGGGATATGGGCGTTCGAGTCGATCTTCGGTATGAAATAATAACTACCCCGAAGTAGAATGCTCAACTTTAAACGAATTTGTCATTTGGGACTTTTTTCACCTTGCTACAGAGCACAATCACAGGCAGGGGTTATCAACTTTTGTAGGAATAACAATACAATTTGACAATGTGAAGATGTACAGGAGGAGGAAGGACATAAGTGCTCGTACCGAGAAGGAGCTTTGGCAGGGAGAACTGGAAGAGGGAAGTGGAGAGGACTGCGAAGAAGGCTGAGTTAGATCAAGATCACGACTGAGACTAACTAACACATTGAGGAAGTTCCTTATGTACACACTATGATGAGCTCCGTTCTATCAGAATGGGTAAGGAAATAGTCTCGAACAGGAGTGACAGAACTTGGCTCTTTGGGAACAATTAAGCTGTGCAACACAAGTGCACATCCGGATAATGGGATTTTTAAGCAAAAAGTGTATTTTTTGGTTGAAAAGACCGTAATTGCAAGAAAAGTGCATATTTGATTGAGAAGACGGCTAATTAATGGAACGACAAGTGTGGTTACCAGTAAATATAGTTACTCTAGGAAATATACAATAGCATAGATAATAGGAACTATTTGGGGACTAGTTCCTATACTTTGATTGCAAAACTAACACGAGGCTGATAAAGAAGCTTATTCTGCTAGCGTTTAGACGTCTACGCTTTCATCAGAGCCGATGACCCGAGTCGATGGGCCACAGTCGATCGTCATCTCGGTGTGGTTTCTTCATCGTCGCATGGAGTTGGAACTTTTCCCACCTAGTGTTAAGTTAAGAATCAAAGGAGGTATTGAATATTGCAGCCGTGGTTGAATGATAGTCGGTTTAAAAAAATATTGTTCTGCTATTTTCTATGCGCTAGATAACATAATACTGATTGCTGCAGGGTGGATTATCCGTAGAAAAACAAATAACTATCAAAGGAGAGTAGTTATACGCTATAAAAGAACGTTGCCAGGTGAGGTTAGATCATTCGGGAGGTGCTTCACTGGAGAATATTCGACTCAATATGACGACGAATATACCACATTGAGAAAACGAAGAGAATTCGAATGGCGTTGACCGTTAGTTTTGAAAGAAGTAAGTTCAGGCTTTTGTGTCAACAGTGCGTGTGAAGCGGTGAGGTACTACTCTAGGGTGTGACGAGTAGCACGGTAGAGTAGCAGTAGTAGTAGTATAGTAGTGGTACCTAGCACACTCAATACGAAGACGGTGCAACACACCGATTTGCTACTTCGATCCCGTCAGTGGTCCACCAAACCTCTTAAACAACAACGTCGCGAGATTTGTTCGGAATAGTTTTACTACTCTTAATCTACGTGGAGAAGTCCTACCACGGCTGCCTTAATATTCCAGAGACAATTCACTCGTCCAGCATTCAACGATACTTGTGAAAAAATCCTCAAATGGTAGCCGAAGCCACGGGCTAGAAATTCGAAGAGCTTGTTGATAGTGGCATGCGGGAAACGAATCGGATGCAAGAAGTGCTGGGATCCGCAAAAGTTGCACATGAGACGTGGGGTCATGTCGCAAAGTAAATAACCATGCTAAGTCCTTTCGTCATGTCTTTGCTGCATTGCAAAAATCATGGAATTCGATTATTGGCGTTGTTGTTGCGCCTACTTACCAAAGCTTTAAAACTAATGAGATTAGCCTTTAGCAAGCATCTTGATACGAGGTAATGCGACCAC